GGTCCACAGGGAGAAGCCTGCCCCTGCCGCAAGCAGCCAACTTGCGAATGACCACCACTTTGATTCCATTCATTGTGTACTCATGCAACAGCTGAGCCATCTGCATTTTAGTTCCACCTTGTGGGGCCATGTCGTTGCAATGGTTCTGGGACTACATTGAGCCAGGTCAAAAACGGACAGAAGCATGTATCCCAAGTTATTTTTGGTAATGTGGGGCGCTGATGCTGCCTGCACAAAGTGCACTAAGATTTGATGGTGTGCGCTGTGCCACGCAGCAATAAAGGGGAAGTAGGAGGATGCAGAAGGGCAGCAGTTGCAGGGCATCGTTAGGTAAAGTGTGCCATCGGCCTGATTGCATGTATGTCGATGTTTGACTAGGTTTGCAGCACCTGTGTGGATGAATTGAGTATGCTCATTCACCTCATGTTGAGGATATAGAGCAGCCAATGCACAGTACATGGAACCTTGCAGCTCCTTGCCATGATGCATCAGCTCTGGACAGCAGATACTTCAACAACATGTGCTGCTCCACGCCAATGACCTAATGGCAACCAGCAAACTCCCAAGGGGGCTGTGATCCCTGTACAGTTTACACCATCCCAGGGCAACTTCACATCTTGTGTCATGTACGAGCTGATTACAAACACACTGCACCCCGATTGCTGGTGGCCCACCAGGTTCCAAATTGTCCCCACCGCCCCCAACACTGGCATTGCGATGCTTGGGCTTATGGGGCGTTGAGATCTGTTCCAGTTTGATCAGCATGGGTTGCTTTCAGCCATTAAGAAAACGGTTTGTTGCAACGCCATCCACATTCAGCATACCACAAAACTTGGGAAACGGCGCAGCCTATATTGTGACATGGCACACACAGTGCTGTAAGTTCATTCATAGCATCCATTCCTCAAGACTACCTTCTCTTAGAACTACCGTGCCATGCAAGTGGGATACAACTGCCACTGACGGGAGTTTTCCATGTTTCTGCTTGCTCAGGGACGCCTTCTATTTATAGAGTACGGAGAGAACTGGTTATCCGTGCCCCCACACATGCTGGGGGTCACCCATTACATAGCGACCAGCTGCACATGTCCTCACATATTGACCCGCCATGGCGCGTAAGTCACTGGGTTGCCGGGTTTCCACTCACGAGGAAGGAGACCCCACTGGCAAACACACATGCGGACAACATCTGGGTAGGCGAGCAGCGTGGGACCAGCGGGTCTGGCAGGGATGCTGCGCCAGGGGGCGCAAGTTGCGGCAGCTTTTCTGCCTGAGCATCGAGTGGATGGGCGAAGGTAGTTGTGGTCGCCACAAGTCTACAAGTTGCTTCCGACATAGAACCTTCTGGCTAAGGCCCTGCAATTGAGGATGGAGGTGCAGGGTGCATGAGAGTTCTACGGGTTCCTTCAGCCGACATGATAAACTTGTATCGCGCTGACGTTACCACGCAGTGGATTGATTAGCGTTTTGGTGACCCGTGGGCAACTTGCATAAGACTGCAGGCAGGCGCCTTGTTTCGCGACCCCGTACATGATAACGTTTCGTATAGTCAGGAAGACGTTTGGGAAACTTTGGGAGGTCTCGCGTTTGGGATGTGGCAGAGGGGTGAACGCAAAAGGCTGATTTTCGGCCATGAACTCAAGGTTGGCTAGTAAGCTGGTCGGAGTCTACGTATTTATTTCATTAGTTTGTTATAAGGCATGAAGTTTGATCTTGAACTTAACCGGAAAACACAATACGCGAATTTTGTCACGAGGTGTGGGCCATTTTCTGCGATAAATCGGAGCACGAGACACTTGACATTGCCCCCTGGGACACTCGTTGCGGCCGGCTCCGCCCACAGGAGTTCCTTCTCATTTTCAGCTTTCTTTGGATGGAGCGATAACTAGTCCAGATTTGCTGCACTGCAAACGTGCATTTGTTTGAAGCATCGTCGATGTTTGGAATAAGCTCATTCATTCTGTTATCGGGAGGTACCACCTATCGGGCTCCGCCCTTGGCTGAAGGGCATGATAGAATCTTTGCCGGGAGGGTCCCGTGACGTTTGCATAGATGTCTGTTCATCGTGTTCGAGGAGAGCCATCGTTGCGTCTGCGGGAACGTTGTGGCCTTGTATTGCACTTTGCGAATCAGTGCCCCGCCGGGACTGCCCTTGATTCCTGGGTTGGTGTGGCAGCTTCAGAGAGGACGCACAATTGTGCAACTGCATGCAGCCACTGCGCATGGAGGCTTTTTGCCTCAAAGACAATTTGCACGCCCGGCCCAGCGGGTTCTTGGAGTGGGGAAGGGCGGTGGCAATGACACTTGAATGCGCCAATTGCTGACGTGCAGCAGTATGAGACGGCTTCCGCGGGCTGGTGGTCGCTCCAACTGGCGGCGCTACTTCTCACTCTGCGTCCTAATTCGCGGACAGGGATGGCCCGCCTTGGAATGTGCAAGGACCCTGTTTCGCTCTGAGAATTCGACATGTAATCAAGAAGGGATTCATGCGGCAGGTGTGTGTGAAATCCTGGTGGCTGGAGCCACAAGCACTCTTGCTTTCTTTTCCTGGTACGCTCGCAGGTGTCTTGTATCATCTTCAGTTTGGGAACGAGTATCCCTATGTCATGTGGCCATGGCACGCTATCTTGCACCTTTGACAACCATTGCCAGCACATGCATCAGCCATCTATCATGTCACCATCCTTGGCCAAAGGCACCACTTTTCGGTTCCTTTTGTATGGCGAACAAGTGATTGGCGGGGAACACACATTGTGGCTGCTGGAGTGTCCAAGCATGGTTCTACGCAGGAACTCAGAGCGAAGATTACAGATGAAGGTGTTGGGGAAGACAGCAACAGGGTCACTATGGTCCCCTCCCTCAAATTCACACGCAAGAAAGCCACATAACGGACATTCACCACCCAAAATACACCGCACATTAGATTTCAATCCCCAGCCACTCTTGTACACACTTTGGATAAACGCTGGCAATGGGCAGAGAGCGCCTGCCTTCTCTGATTCGCCCATGGACGCATCTCAAACAGCATGGTGTTCTCTGTGCATCCCTCAAATGACCTATTGACGGGATGCCGATGGGCTCCTGTCCCTTGGACTTGGGTCTCTGGCCACTCCCTGCGGCATGGATTCGTCCTTCCCCTTAGGTTGATCCCAGCTTGATTGTGCAGAGCGCTTCCGGCCAGGCGGGCTGCGAACTTCCCACGAAGACGATCGACTCGACGATCGATATGAGCGGCCTGAAGATGACCTGTTCGAGAATGATGCTGAGCGCCTTCCCGAGTGGCGGACACGCTTGCCTCTATCCGATCTATCCGATGGCGATCTCCGACGCTTTGACGATGGGCTGCCCCCAGGAGATGCACCAGGCCTGGCACACAAAACGCACCACATTCAGCGACTTCGAAACACAAAGAAACATGTTGCTGGCTGACAGCATAACTGTGGGGTCCCTACAGCATTCTTTGCAGGGATGGCACAGTGCTTGTTAACAGCACAAGATGTTACCAACAATGTGATGGTGGGCGAATGTGGCAGGGGCCACGCAAAGTCAGGCTTTGGCCCAAGCGCCCAAAGAAGACAACTTCCAAAGTCGCACAGATCCTCTTCCCTGCTTGCATTACATGTGGGCACAAGATTCTGTTGGGGCCAAATAGAGGTCAATGACAATACTTAATCTTAAACAGTCCACAGCATGCTGCAGCAGTCACAATTTTGCCAAGCACGTGTCCCCCCCTCCCGTCCTTCCTGAAACCAAAACCCCTCCATGCACATTGTCAGCGCTGTAGTGCATGAAAGCTGTCCAAAGGGGCCTTACCCCTGGCGGCTTCGTCCACGGCCCCTCTCTCCCTCAGGCGATGGCCTCCTCCTGTGCATCCCCCGGTCCTGGTCCCCCCGGTCCTGGTACCCCCGCTGCTGGTAGCCCCGGTCCTGATACCCGTTGAACTGGTGCCCTCCGCGCCAGCCCCCCCTGCCCCGGTAGTCGCCCCTGCCACCAAACCTACCCCCGCGGTAGGTCATGTTCCTGTACCCCCGGCCGCCCCGCACGTACCCTCCATCGTTGTACCCCCTCCCCCCGTAGTCCCGCCCTCCCCTGCCATACCCTGGGTTGTAACCCCCCCTCCTGAATCCCCCCCTGTCAAACGCGATCGGCTGGGGCCTCTGGTATGGCCGGTCGCAGCGCCACTCGTCCCGCCCACTCCTCCTGTTGTCCCAGCCGCCATCAAACCCCTGATGCTGATAACCCCTTCCCCTGTACCCCCTGTTGTCTCGATAATCCGCCCGGTACCCATCCCCCCTGTAGCCGTCCCCCCTGTAGCCATCCCCCCTGTGGCCGTCCCACCTGCCATCCCTGTCCCCCCTGTTGCGCTGGCCGGACCTCGAGGAAGATCGATCCCTTGGCGACCTGGATCGCCCCCCCTTGCGGCCACCCGGTGAACCCGACCTCGGCGATCGGGACTTGCTCGACGACGACGAACGCCCCCGGCCGGAGCTTGTCTTCCGCCTCGACCCGGACGACCGCGATCTGGACGACGTCTTGCGATTGGCTGGCGATGGGGATCGCGATCCCCGGCGGGGGGAGCGCGACTTGGATCGACCGGCGCCGCGCGGGGAGGCGGGCCTGGAGCGCGGCGAGCTGGACCGGCCGCGGGAGTCTGAGCTGGATTTGGACCGGGATTTGGAGCGGGAGGTGTGGGACGTCGTGGCGGACCGGGCGGGGGATCGGCGGGGGGACCTCGAGGGGGAGGTCTCGCCGCCCTGCCGGGAGGGCGACAGGGGGCGCCTGGGGCGCGGTGGCGACCTGGACGCCGGCGCCGCGCCCTGAGCGCCACGCGGCGCCCTTCGGCCCCTGTCTTCGGCCTTACCCGATTCCGGCACGGGCCCGTTGCCATCCCTGGACGCCTGCCGCGCCTCCCGGGCGTAATCCGCGGCGGGCTCCCTGTGCTCCATTTCGCGGCGGCCCAAACCGCCAGGGGGGAGGGCAGCCTCCGCCGAGGCCAGCATCTGCGCCTGGGGCTCGTAGTCGTCGCCGCCCTTACTTACTGGGCCCCTGGGCCCCCTGGCGTCAAAGGCAGCGCCGGCGCCCTCGTCATACCCGCCACGGCCTCCAGGCCTCTGCTCCGCCCCGCCGACCATCTGGTACTTCCCTGCCGCAGGCTGCTCTGGTGCTGCGCGCTGGACCTCTGAATAGTACAGTTCCTCCCTCACCCCTTCGTTGGGGCCCCTGGCGTCGGCCCCATTCTGCATGCCCGGCAGGGATTCGTACGCCTTGGCGTGCGGCCTGCCCCCGTTTGGGGCGCTCTGGCGCTGCTTCTCGTGGCGCTCAAACCGTGGGCCTGGATGAGTGAGCGGGGAGGCGCTGCGAGAGGCCTCCAGTCCCCGGGCTCCTGGTCGGGTTTCGACGCCATTGGTTGCCAGCAGGGGGCCCTCCACACCCGGGGACACTGCGTTCCTGCGGGACGGAGAAGAAGGGACACGGTGAGGGTGTCAAGCAGCGGAGAAGCTCGTTGCTCGTGTTCTGAACAACTGAAGCCAGCAAGATGCACTTGGGGCATGGTCTGGTATGTGGCCTGTTTTTCCACATGACAGCTGCATCGCACAGAAGGGGGCGGCTGCAACTCTTGCACCTGCACATTCCTGGGAGCTCAGCTCCAAAACAAAAGTTTTGTGGGGATCTGTTGCTCATACATGGCTTTGCACTTGCAGTGCAGTGGCATCGATGATTCCAAGTACAACGGCATCAGGGATCCAAAGTGCAATTTAACCAACGGCAGAGACAAGCCCTGCAAGCTTCATTTCCCCTGCCGGGAGGTCTGTACAAAGCCCACAGCTGAAGGGGGGGGGGGGGCAAACAAGCAGCAAGACATCTTTCTTCATTACTCAAGCACAATGCACATATACATGCTACAGTCGTCAGCACAAGTGGCAAGTCTTGCGGCAAGCACTACTGTTAAGCTAGCAGGCAATTGTGGCTGGGAACACATGCTAGAGGTCAGCACACAAAAGTAACTGCAGCACAGTGGCTACTCATGATGACCTAAAAACAAGATTATCAGATCAACCTAATGTGCTCCCATCCCACACTGGCAGGGCAATAATTCACGACTTCCACAGGTTGCCCGTGCTCCACAGTGTGTTTGTATATGGCACAACAGAATAACAACCTCATGCTGCTGCAGCTACTATGCTCAGCCAGTCCAAATGTTAGCAATCATCGATGCCCAGCATTCCCAATGAGCTGTAAATCAACCTTTGGGGCCTACTGCTGATGAACATGGAGTCAAGGGTCCACTGGCCACACACAAAGGCAACACACAAAAGTTTACCAGATCAAACAAGTCTGCCTTACCTACCTCCAGCGTTGGGACGATCGAGCAAAACAGTCAGGTAACACGATTCCTTAAACCCACAGTTCTCAGCACTCGCTGGGACGATCTGTCCATCAGCACGAAGCCTCCAAACGAGTTGCTATTCTAGCTCTGGTGTACAACTGCCCCGCATGCTTTCCGATCATGCAGCAGTCACTTCGCGTTGTCCAACACTGTAAAGTCTGTCTCCCCTCGCGTTTTGCACATTCCTTCCCACCGTTTGCTCATTCTTTTGTTCATAAATGCTGCTGCGCTGTTGAGGCCAGCTTATGCATATACCCATAGTAAAGAACAACCTGACCAGATGCGGTGCCAGCATAAACAATGGGTCCAGTGCGCAAACGGCCAAGCTCAGCACCGTGTACAACAACCCAGGCAACAATCTGGCACACAGCAATAAAGCACAATTAAGGTCAACTGCCGATCACAAAGGCTAAAGTCAAGAGGCATGAAGGCAGGCAGTGAGCAGTCAATATCACTTCCAACAAGGTAAAGCCAGGCCAACAAGCAGAAATCTGCAGCATCGGAGCCAACGTCCACAACAGGGCACTGTGTGACTCTGGAGAGCGGTCTTACCTTTTGCGTGATGCCAAGACCTTCTCATAGTAGTCAGATGAAGGAGAGGGACACTCTGAGCGATATTGAGAAGGCCGGCGCTTGCGCGATGGCGGAGTTTCCATAATCGAACCACCCTGGGGTGATGGGCTTTTTGTCATCTCAAATTCCATATCTTCATTTGGCTCCCCTTCCACAGGGTGGATTTCCTCCCCAGCCATATGTTGGTATCTCTCCCCCCTCACCTGCACAGCAGGCAGTCCTACAGCACCACCCTGGTGACTCAGAGCCACACCTGACTGGTCTGCATGTCCCTTCTCCACCTCTTCCATCACTTCATCTTCTTGCCTGATTTTCTCCCACCTCTTGCCAGCCGACCCCCTCCGTAACTCCTCTGGCTCATCTTCTTCGGGATTGTATCTCTCTGGTGCTGCCTCCCCCTTTCGGTAGTACCCAGGGGCGTTCATGTCCAGCCCCAAGCTGTCAAACCTGCGAGGCATCGGCCTGTGGCCACCGACCCCAACAACACCCGTCCTACCACGGCCTCGATCAATTCTCACACCTGCACCCCTTACGTACCTCATTGGGGCGCCCATTCTCACGATGCGCTGGTGCTCACCTTCATCTGGCTGCAGCCCATCCCTGTTAACGCCTCCCACCGCTCTGGGAATCCCCCCCCTGGCATAATGTCCAGGGATAGGTGCCCTGTACACAGCCCGCCCGTACCCTGGCTCGCCATGCAGGCGCAGTTGTGGACCACCTCGGACGATCGTTCTGCCCCTTGGCGGGATCCTCCCCCTTGGGGCTAGCCTTGCCACAGGCCTCAGTCGCTCCTCGGGGTAGTACATCTCTCCCTCACCAACTCTTTCATCAACAACCTCAGCAGGGTAGCCTCTCACGTGGGTCACGTAACCCTGAGGGGCCCCGTCTACCTCGTAATACTCCCCAGGGGCAGCTACAGGAACCCTACGAAGGATTCTGGGTCGTTCCACCCAGTACCCCCCTTCATGGTAGTCTTCCGCCACATACATGGCCTCATCACCCTCCCTGCCCGTTTTGTGGGGATCCTGCTGCCACTCCTCATATTCCTCATCATTCTGGGCTTGTTGCCTCAAGGCCCCAGCCAGCACAACTCTACCATGAGCTTTGTGCAGCCTTGGGGCCTCAACGTCAGTGTCAAGGACCATTTGCTCAGGAGGGCCCAACCTCCCATCTGTTGGCCTCCTCTTTGGCACTTCGCGCTCGTCGTACCTTCCATTTGGGGACGCTTCCAAGGGAGAATCTGAGAAATCCCTCTCATTGTGGGCCTTGTCTTCAGAATCAACATCCTATAGAGAAACTATCTGTCAGCGCCCTGACTCCTCCATCGCAATGTTGAGACGATCTCAGCAATAGTGACACTGCAACACCATCCATCAAGCACAGGGCACACATGGCACTACACGTGTGTGGCAGCTACTGAGCCCCACAAGCCTTTAAGGCCCACAGTCATCGCCAGCGAGCTGCACGCAGAGTCTTGATGAACAGGCAAACAGTTGGAAAAAGAAGCAAAGGCGTTGACAAGCAGGCCCATCACAAGACGAAGTTCTGCAACCAGCAACTATAACGAAAACAAAGTGTGCCCACTAGCCGGTACCTGCTACAGCAGCGTTGCCAGCATTAAAGCATGACCGTGTGGATGTGCACAACAAACTTCAGCCACCGGTGATTCCATGCGCATGCTTTCCCAGCCGCAATATAAGGATAACTTCATTGACAAGCGATCTAACGGCACCAGCTAGAGCCAGGCGTGGAATCAGCAGGTGCGGCCACTGTGTGCTGGCCACCTTGACTTGGTTGATCAGAAGAAATAGACAAGCCTCCTCCCACGGGCAAAAACATATTGCAGGGCCTAGATTCGAAGTGAGCAACTTGAAGCACAGGTAGCCACAAACCAAACCCATCTGGAGGTAAATAACAAACATTTTGCCAGGAACAGGGCGCGCCGTCTCATGAGGCTTGGGTGGGAGCAAGGATCGGCCGCAAGGCGGCGACAGACGCAGCACAATCTAGCAAGTCTGCCACAAATTAGATCCGCCGCGGACAGCTCCCACGCGCAGCATTCTTTTGCACCAGGAGCCGACACAAAACCGGCAATTAATTCGTTTGGGCGAGAACTGGCCCAGGAGACACGGGAACGGCAGCGAGAGATCATCAACTTCGCGGAGGCCGGGACAGATACTGCAGACCAGCCGGGCTCGCGCACACACACACCTTCCCCCAGGTGCCCGCCCCGGCCCTAACCCCGACCGTCTACGGCTCGTTGCCCACTCCCACGGCAACCCCACATCGCCGGCCCGCTGGCGTGCAAGGCAAAACCCCACGCCGTCCGCTTCCTGGCCCCACCTTGCGGTCATAGTCGCGCTCTCGCCCACGTTTCTCCCTCCCCAGTTCTCGGTCGCTGGAATCGTCGCCGTCACGGGCCCTCACCCGGTCCCGCCCGCGCTCCTTGCCGTCCTTAGCCCGCCTCTTTTCCTGCTTGCGGCGCTCCTTCTCTGCGTCCTTGCGCCGCCGATCTTCGTCTTCGCGGCCCTTTTTCCCCTCCTTCAAGCGCTTCTTGTGCTCCTTTTCCATGGCCTCCCGATCGGAAGCGGGCTGCCGTCTCCGTTGCTCCTGCGCAGAGCCAACGAAGGCGAGGGCGGGTGCGGCAGGCGGCAAATATGTTCGCGAAGTGCGCCTTGCCCTGTTGACTGATGTCGAGCATTTCCCCTATTATCAACTAAATAACTGTTCCCCGCATCACCAAAACACGACGAAGGGAAACTGCGGTTCCTAAGTTCGTTCATGGCTCAAAAGGAAGGGGACTAAAATTAATGGGTGCTTAGTAAGCACTGCTTACATTGCTGGTCGTTTGGCTGCCGTTTGCCCCGTCAATCCAGTTTACAGCCAGCAAAACTGAAATCAACATCGTGAGTTCGCCGAACATTCGTCAATCGATGTCATCATACCATCCAAATTGAAAAATAGAGCCCATCTGTAACCATACGGCAGCAATTGTGCAGGGGGATGTCGAGCAAGTAACAGTGGGCAAAGGCACGAGAGTGAAACTTTTCTTGCCATGTTTGGTGCTGGCGGGCCAACGCACTAAGATCAAACGGCACGACTGGCAGTCAGGACACCTGGCAGTGTTCCCGAAATTTTCGCAACCATTCGACAAGTGTAGGCTTTTCTCCAAGGCAACATCGTGTGTGGGCATACTGGGCTGATTGGGACCAGCATGAAGCATGATTGTAGCGCTAATGCACAGTCAAATCCACACTCTTGTAGGTACTGGAAGTCCACATGCTATGTGCCAGTATTGCGGGCGGCAGGACAGCCAAAACGATTTTTAATGGCTTGAGAAATTAAAGCAAGGAAAGATAAATTTATGTAGAACATCCCTTGGAGAAAACAATGCCGAACTACCTTTTTTGGGATTGTGCATTTATTCATTTGCCAATGAACAATCTGACTTTGTTAGCTTCCCAGCGCCTTGCACTATCTCTTGAGGTGGCACAAAAGACATAACTTCTCTGTTGGGACAGGTGTTGCACCTAGACTCTTGAGTGCGATGCAGTGCTGTGTATTGGGGGCAATCTTTCTGGACAAAGGGATTTGGTGTTAGTCCTTGTTGCTCCAGGTCCCAGTGTTGCAAAGGGATACACTGTAGGAACAACACTGACACCCATACCCTACAGCCAGTCAAGGCCTCATTCAAGGCTTGATTGTCCCCTCTCAATACCATAACAAAACCCCCCACATCAAAATGGCTGTGCGCTGGCGTTGTGCATCGAAATCTGATCTGGCAAGCAAGGCCCTGTCTTACCTCGCGCTCTCTGTCAGATGCATCGCCTTCATTCATGCCCTTCTGCTCTGTCATCATCCTAATCTTCTCCATCTGGACCTGCCTCCTCTGCAAGGTCTGTTGCGTCTCTGTTTCAGGCCTAAATGCAGCAGGCACATGTGACACAGATGGCGGCATAACAACTGAACCCAAGCAGCCAGTTTGTGGGGCCAATGAGTTGGACTCAGGGCAGCTGGACAACAGAAGGCATTCATGGAGTATGCCCGCACCGTGCTTCCTTCATGAACACACAGTGCACTCCGAAACATGCTCCCAAAGCTTTCAAGACAGGGCTTGCACTGGACAACTGCGAAACGATCCATGCAAGAAAGTGCTCGTTGCAATAAGCAGGATTTTGACCATGCACAGCGATAGAGCCCAAGCTTTGCCAGTGAACCCACTGCCCACTCACGCGTTGCTAGTCCCCTCTGGTCCTGTGGACCCGCACTGAAGCCTGCTGCGCTCGCATGCGAGTCGCTGCTCCACATCACTGGCAGAGCATCTGACAACCAATGCAGTCATAGCAGCAATCTGAGACCCACAAAACTGGAGTAGACCACATTCCTCCTGCATTGTGGGTCTATTGTGAAGTGGCACATGCAGCGAAGAGGTGACAGGCATCGAGCAACATTTTTGTGGGCCGTTTCTGTGTGTCCAGCAGGTATCAGTGTCACTCCATACGGGGATGCCATACTCACTGAGGTAGGCATGTGAAGGACTACCTGGCATTGAGTGCCTTTGATGAAGTATTTTGGATTCTGTTTCCAGAAGACCATGGATGCAAACAAGCTACAAAAGCTTTACCCGCTGCTGGTTCCAATACGCCTCTAAGGTTGTTTCCTTCACACACCTACAGCTGCTGGAAAACTGGGTAATTGCTGAACTTGCTTGTCTGAAAAGCGGCGCCTTGAACACAAGCATCCAGCTGTCCACAGATTCTGATGTCCAGAAAGGTCTGCCAATGTGCAAGACGGCACTCCTGGTGTGTGTATCATTGGTAGCTCTGCGCAAAACCGATGCTATTTGACAGATGTGAATGGCAGCTCAGTCCACAATGCAGGCAACACTGCATTTTGGTGTCTAGCTTCTGCAAAGGAGTGGTCACAAGCCAACCACTCTCCAATGAGAGCCATACCAAATGTACATATTAGGGTACACACCTTACGCTTGCCAACCTCTATGCTGGATTTGTTCATTTCAATCTGTTCTATGTTGCCTTCCATGGTAACTCCACATCCTTGCTTCCTTAATTCGAATCAGTGGAACAGGGCCAGCATGGTGAGCTGTACATTGGGCGCTCATGATACTGCAATTCTGTACCTAATCATGGCATCAGATTCTTTTGATTTCCTGCAACACTGCTGTTTGAAGCCTTCGATCATTGCCACCCGAATTTCTATGTTGGTATTGATATGAAGCAACCTCCCTTGGCCTCCACGTTGGATATCTCTCAGGTGGTTGATACTTCACAACAACGAAAGAGAAGCACTTTATGGATATTTGTCGCTGGATTCTGGAAACCAGAGTTCACCTCTAAGATACAAAAGCCGCCTGCACGTTCCGCACATTGGCTGGCAATACCCAGGGGAAGAGAATTAAGCGGAACATCCCTTCTTGTCTGGGCGAGGCCATGATTTACGAAATTGTGATGCTCAGCAAGCAGTCCTCTGTCTCCGTGCTGCGCTGACTCCATAAATTCCTGCTGTGGAAGGTGCAGACAACCCTTTCGTTTCAGGCAATAACAACCTCTGCTGGTTTGGCCATTGCCGCCATACCACATGCCCTCTGCCGCTTCGTTCCGCTCACCCATCGTCCTCGAGCTGCATTCGAAGCTCGAAAACCTTGGCCTCAATTTCCCTCCTGCGTTTGTGATCCATGATTTCCTGATTTGGCTTCTTGTGTGCGGGGCCGGGGTTGTCATTTTCGGACCAATGCTTCACATGCGCCGCTCCCCGTGGGTTGAGCTTGTTCGTTTGGACATAGCCACTCGCGCCCGACCCGCGTGGCGTCCGAAGACCAACGCCGTCATACATGGCGTCCTAGCCCAGGATGCGCAGAACGCGAACAGACCTGCAGAATTGAAACAGAATGTTTTAGCAACATGATCTGATGCCGTGGTGGCATTCCGAAGAAAAACCGCGCATGAGCGCAGAAACGGTGGCTTCTGCGAAATTCCCCGTCCGGCTGCTGCCCATTTGGGCACAAGTATCGCACACGTGGCGCCAATCCTCGCACCACCGCAGAACGGGCGGAAGAAGAATCTTCCAGGCCAAGCCCAGTCGTGTCTACTGAACTCGTTGTTAGTCATTGTGCCACATCAGCACAATGATGGGCTCGTGGCAAAAGGCACCTTTGAAAAGGCAGAATTCGTGGAGAAGCGCTGGCCCCTTCATCACAAAACTAATGCGATCGGTGTTGGATAGATTACTGAGAATGTAGGCTATGTTACAACTGGTGAATGGCAACAGAATATGCCAAAAGGGGCAATCATTCTACTTCGAAAATGGCTCCTATTCATGGCAGAATTCTGGGTAGAACATGCAGTTTCAAGAGTGCCCCAATGGTGGGGTGCAGTTAGACAGCAATGCTCAATCGATAATGATGATTAGGTGAATTGGCAAGTTTATGAATATTGTCCAGTACCTTGGGGTGCGTATCCATGGTTGCCATCATGTATTGTGTTTCATGACGTACGATGTTATACAACAACCTTGGAAGCTGAGTCGTAGGGTGCCTCAGAGGTGCCCACATGGCAACAACAACTTGGGGTGACGCGCTCAAACAAAGGTGCGAGGGCATGGCTGCCAAGGCTCGATGACGATGATCATGGCGAAATCATATTAGAGGTGGCCACTCAAAGGTGCCATCCGGTCCGTTAAATCCGGTTCGTTAATTTTTATCAGCTGTCCGTTAAATTTCGTTAAAGAAAAAGGGAGAAAAATTCAGAAAAAAACGAAAAAATCCAAAAAAATCGAAAAAAACCCAAAAAATCACAACAACTGCGGCTAGTTGAAAATCTAGTATGCATAGGTTGGAAGAAAATACAAACATACTCTCTAATAGCGAATTCCATAAACTATAAGTATGACTAAAACCCAAAAATCCCCAAAAAATCCAAAAATCCGCTAATTTTTGGTTAACTTTTTGTCTTTTTTCATTATTTTCCGTTAATTAACGGAAAATTAACGGAAGTTAACCTATGTCCGCTATTAACGGATCCGGGTGGCCACCTCTAAATCGTATGAGCTACGCTGCGTTGCTTACATAGCAACGGTCTACCTTACCATGCATAGAATTTGCATGCCCATGAGGGGCTGCGGTAAGCCCAAGGGATGCTCAAATCCACGACGTACGGGACTGCTAAGCGTGCCTGCATATGAAAACCTGCCTAATGATGGGGGGCACAAGCAAGGCATTGGAGCCCATGGCAAAGGCATGGAGGAGCAGGTGATACGAAAAGGTTGTGGGTGTGGGGCTCCTGCCCTCTTTGAGCCACGGACCCGCCTTGCCGGGCACCTAGGTCCTTACGGGGACCTAGGCGGGACCACCCCTCCTACTCCCATATCCTAATAACTAGAATAGCTACCATGGGATAAGGAATACTTATCATATCTTGGGCAGGGCGTCCCCCACACCAAGGGCCGTTAGTAAGCCGTCCCCTACATCAGGCCGGTGCGTGTAACATTCGTCCCCCTCAGGGAGTGGGGCATCCTCATCCCAATAGGTGGATACGGGAGTAGAAACATAATTGCATATGCGCAACTGGCTGTGTGATTTGCCACATGCCCAGTTCGCGTGATTGCAATGCAACTGTGATGAAGAGAAAGAGTGGTTGTTACATGACCTTTTGGTCTCTCTACAACCCTCATTAAAACTCTTCCTTTAGCCCATAGGCTAGAATGTTCAGTCCCTGGCCTTTCGGCCTGTGTCCACTGCTGAAAAAATCAAGTCATACAGATCAACCTGCTCAGCCCCGGCCTCCACCGGCCATCCAACCCCGACCCCCTCGAGGGTGCTGCTGTGGTTGCCGTATCCTTTGACGCACACGAGTAGGGGCTCTCGGGGGGCTGACAAGAGGGTCATCATGGTCCACCCTCTCCCCGCTCAAAATTACAAGGGACATGGCATTCATGTGCCCAAACAACGTGTGAGAGCAGGGTCCGGTATAACCGGTATTCTTCTGGGCCCATTTCAGCAGGATCTGTCACATGCACATTCGCGCTTTAGTTCATTTCATCATGTACTTTTCATACTGCAATCAGTTTACACATACACAACAAGAGTTTTGCCATTTTCAAATGCTTGAACCAGTTCCTGTGCATTGGCAACTGCCTTTGTTGATTCCCAGCTGTTATGTTCATGACCATAACCCAGCCATTTGACAAGGTACTCTATGGAGTCCTATCGTTGGCCACGCTTTTTAATCCTCTTATCCAGGATGCGTTCAACTTCATATTCCAGTTCTCCTTCGATTTCAATAGGAACTGGTGGTGGCTGCACTCTGCCACTTGCCTTATAAGGCTTAATCTTTGATACATGAAATACTGGATGTATCTTATGCATGCTTTCCGGTATTTCCAGTCGATATGCGACAGAACCTATCCAGTCGAGGATGGTGAAGGGCCCAATCCACCTCGGTAATAGTTTTCGAGTTCCAGGGTGTTTGAGGGTGATATGCTGTGTCGAAAGGAGGACGTCTTCTCCTTTATCAAACGACACATCCCTCCGGTGGCGGTCAGCATGCTTTGACTGCCTGTCTCGTGCTTTTTCTAAGCACGCCCTGGCCTCTTTCAGCGCTGATTGGACATGGTGATCAAATCGTGTCACTGCTGGTAATCCCTCCATGAGGGGTGTACCAGTATGCCTCAAATAAGGCTGTTGTGCCCTATCAATGGCCATTGCCAAGCCGTGGGCATTCGGATTGTCATAGCCTTTCAAAGGCTTCCGAATCTGCACCCCAAGAGCTAAGGGACTCTTTGGGTGTCGACCGTAGTTCAAATAGAACGGGTCTCTTGAGTAGAACTGTTTTTCGAGTTGTTCATTGCAAACTCGGCCATGGCTAATAATTCATCCCATGCGTCATGGTCAGAATGCGTATAGCTGCGTAAGTAGTCCTCCAGAATCCGATTCATGACTTCGGTCTGGCCATCCGTCTGTGGATGGTACGCAGTGCTCATGTTGAGCTGGACTTTTCACCTCTCGGCCAGGTACCAGTAGGACCTGGAAGTGAACCGAACGTTTTTGCCGGACACTATCTGAGAGGGGAGACCGTGGTGCCTTATCACATTCTGCACTAACAGGTCGGCTGCTCCTTCCGCTGAGAGCTCAGTGGTCGTGGCTGCGAGGCGGACCATTTTGGTCAGTCTATCGACGAACACGACAACAACATCATGACCTCCCTTAGTTTTTGGCAGTTGGGTGATGAAGTCCATGGACAGTTCAGTCCATGGCTCCTCAGGAATGCCCAGAGGCTGTAACAAGCCTGGGGTCTTTTGACGAGAATATTTAGCCTGTTGACAAACCAGGCAAGTATCAACATGTAGTTGTACTTCTTGTCTCATTTCTGGCCACCAGTAATACTGTTGGACCAAGTCCAGGGTTTTGGCTTGACCAAAGTGTCCTGCACTTGGATGGTCGTGAGCCAATTGGTAGATCTCAGTCCGCAGGCTGTTTGGTATATATACTTGCTTGCCTCGCAGCCATAAACCGCCTGTACAGTGCATCTCCTGCTGCTATTTCACAGACTCAAGCTGGGGGTCTTGGCCATAGGTCTGACGGATCCTGGAGGCTAGTTGGTCTGCCTCTACCGTCTCTTTTGTCTTTTTTTTGTCCCCGCTTGCGTATTGCTCTTAGGCCATAGACAACCAGTTGACTTTTCCTCCTGGCCTCCTGTTCATCAGGTGATGGAGGAATGCGAGAGAGTGGGTCAGCCACATTCTTTCACCCTGGGCGGTATTCCTAGTCAAAGTCAAACTGTTGTAAGATCTCAGACCACCTAGCCTATCTTCGGCTCAACTGTGGTTGTGACTTAAGATAGGTTAACGGACAGTGGTCCATTACCAGTTTGAAGTGTGTCCCCTCAAGGTAACACCTCCATAACTGGACAGCGTGGACCGAAGCTAAAGCTTCTTGATCTGTCACACTGTAGTTCAACTCTGTTGGGAGGAACTTTCTGTTGGCATAGCAGATTGGATGATTATCCTGCATCAGAACCGCTCCCACTGCAGTTTGAGATGCGTCTGCTATGACCTCAAAGGGTCTCTCAGGGTCTGGCATCTTGAGCAATGGAGCTGTGGTTAAACACTCTTTTATGTGCTCAAATGTCTCTTGACATTTTGCTGTCCACTCCCACTTGCCATTTTGTTTGGTCAAGTCTGTTAAGGGAGTAGCCATTTTCGAATAGCCCTGTATGAACTTTTGAAAATAGTTTGCCAGCCCAAGGAACTGCTGTATGTGCTTTACGCACTATGGTACAGGCCAGTTCTTCACCTTCTCGATCCCTTCGGGATCTGGGCGAATGCCCTCTTGGGACACAATATATCCCAGATAGGGGATTTCCTCCTTGTTGAACTGACACTTATGCATACGATAATACAGCTTCTGTTGTCGTAGCACCTCTAACACCTGACGAAGGTGTTTAAGATGTTCTTCAACAATTTGGCTAAACACTAAGATATCGTCCAGGTAAACCAGAACGTGTTTGCCAATTTGATCACCAAATATATGGTGCATCGTCTGCTGGAATATTGCTGGGGCATTCGCGAATCCAAAAGGGAGTACCTTGAACTCGCAAAGACCCAACGTCATCACAAAAGCCGTTTTGGCACAATCTGCCTTATCAATCCGCAGTTGATAGTACCCTTGCTGCAAGTCTATAGCCGAGAAAATCTTGGCTCTTTGTAGTTGATCCAAAAGGGTGTCTATCCGAGGGATTGGCCACTTGTTTTTAATAGTGGCTTTGTTCAGTGCTCGATAATCGATGCATATTCGTAGGCTGCCGTCTGGCTTTGGTACAAAGAGTACTGGGGCCCCA